ACAAATAAGTAGTGATGTACTTTGATTTCTTTCAATTCATCATAGATCTCATATTATAAAATATAGTATAAAACACATGAACAATTGAATTTTTAACATTGATTTAATCAAGAGAATCGAGCTCTTTACACTTCAGTAAACTGATTTTCTTTTGAAATATCCACCAAAAATTATCTTATAAGCAACTGCAAATCCTAAGGAGTTTCTCAAAATAGATGACCAAGCAGGCCATTTTCTATGAGCAAAGAGCTATGGACAAAGAATTTAATAGTAATTTTTAAAAGGTAAATAACACTTGATCCCTGCCTCATTAGAAAAAGTTCTATCTACTTCCTATTATCTACTAAGAGAGGTAAGGAGGGGAAGGGAGGAGTAGGAAAGAAGATGAAGGGAATAATTGAGATGTGTTATATTCTGTACCAACTCTGCACAAGGAATGTAATTGTTATCTAATATAAACATGTACTAAAAAAAATTGACATAAAAGGTCAACCAAAAGCTTTAAAAACAACTAGTCAGTTGCAGATTAATCTTGACTCATTAGGGTCATGTAAAGATGAGCCTGCTTCTGTTTTTGAATGGTAAGAGTAACAGTTACAAAATTCAAGAGATATACTCATAGGTGTATTTAAGAATGATTCTAATGCCATGAAGGAATTCGCGGCTACAGATCAAAGAATGAAAGCCGAAAAAATGCAAATACAAACTGTGAAGAGAACAATAAGGCAGTTCCAAATAACCAAGAAATAGTCTTCAACAGATAAAAACAGAATTTAAACAAAAATCACAAGTTAGATAAATTCAAGAATCAATTTATTGAAAAAATTTTAAATAGAAAAAATTTACTTAGTCTAATCAAAAAGAATAAAATATCTTCACTTGGTACACAAAATCTAGAAAGAGGAGGTACCATCACAAGTTCAAGTGATGTGAGATTCTTTAATAATGTACTTGAAATATTGGTTTAAAAAAGCAACAAGGAAAATATAAATTGCTAAGGCCAACTAGAAGTGGTAGAATAGTAGATTAGCTCAGTTTCCATAGAAAATATAAAAATTGTTGGTAAATAATCAGGTGTCTGGGCCTAATTTTTATGGAAATATCCTTTCAAAAATTTAAAGAACACATAAACTATTTTAAATAAAGAGTTCCACAGCATAGATAAAAAATAATTTTTAAAAGCCTGGTATAATGTGTTCACAGGTGTACAAAGACCCACATTCTATAGGTCAAATTCCTCTCTGAATGCAGAAAGAAACATTCTAAGTAAAACGATAGGAAATTTTAAAAAATTAATGAGTAAATAATTATATTATTAGGTCAAGTAGGGTTTATTCTGTTAAAATATAATAATAGTCTCGAGACTACAATTTACATTGATTGGAGATTCTCATTGTAAACAATAATGAAGACAATAGAAAATTGTACGTGTGTGTGGGGGTGTGTCTCTGCATGTCTATATGTATAAAAGCATATATTCCTGATTGAAAGAAAATGAGTATAGACCATGCTGATTCCCCTGATTTCATCCTTGGATAGGCTACATAAACAAGAAAGAAGTTGAAGGGACTAATAGCATAGGAAAACAGAGAAACCAGGAGGTGTTTATGGGAAAAGCAGCTTAAACTTACAAGAGATCTGCTATACTCAGAAGGCTTTTTTTCTTGGGCCTCTGCAACATGGCTTTCAGAAGCTCTGTGACACCTGCACTTTTGTCCATTCAGAACCATTAAGCAGAGTGCTAGCTCAGGCAAACTGGAGGCTTCAAGGTAACACCAGGGAGTCTCTGGATGTCTAGTGCCAGGGGTGGGGT